GAAGAAGTGGGCTGTAGCCCACGAAAGCTTATGCTCTAATAAATTTGTTAGTCTCTAAGGTGCCACAAGTACTCCTGTTCTTTCTTTTGGAATCAATTTCATACCAGTGGAGATGCTAACGTTTAGCAGATTAAATTCAATCTTGGCTACAATTTGAACTGAAGTTCAACCCCTTCTAATGGTAATTTAAGAAAACAAAAAAGTGGGTGATAATGAATAAAGAGGGATCTTTTATTTAAGTATATATGAAAATGAAGAATCACTTTAGGTGGCAATTTACTGCAAAAAAAACCCTCCCTACTTTTAATTATAAATCCATATAGAAGACTAGGTTTAAAGTTCAGTCTCCATGCCATTCAGTGCTTGACCTTTTTGTTAAAATTGCCAACATGGGTGTCAATTAACAACAGCTGTGTCGTGATTTTGGTGGTATAGATAGCTGTCTACTGGGACTTAGACAGAGACCACATAATTCATTTCACACACACGGAAGAGCTGTCTAATGGTAACAGCTTTTGGCCAAGACTAACCTCAACTGGATTGACCTTATTATTGATGAGGTGAAATGCTCTATTATACCATTTCCAATCTTAAAGATCTTATTAAAAGCAAACAAAGTGAAACTTGTATTCTTTTTAGCAGTCTGGAGAAGGTCATTTCAAATCACTTGGTGGTTAGTTTGGAATAACAAGAGTACCACAATGTATTTTCAAACACTTTATGCCACACAAGAACTGCTTGACAGAACATGCTGTGAAAGGAGCAAGGAAAGCACTCATTCAACAACACTGACGTCTGCTCGCTTTATTGTTACTTTTCATAGGACCACTGCAAATAAGAACCCAATGTGCTTGGAGCATAGCAATTACCGTTGCTTACTAATTAAAAACCAGGAGAACTAAAGAACAAGACATGAACAGAGAGGTAAATAGCTAACATTATGAATAAACTTACTATCATGGTCTGCCAGACATGGGGTATATCTTCCTTTGGGTTTGCGTGAGCCTGTTGAGAGGCATATTGCTCTTGATCTTCTGGAAGCTGAACGGGACTGAGGTTGGGGAAGAGGAATGTTGGGGTCTGGTGCAGTGTGAAATATCTATAAGTACAAAAAATCACAATCGATAACTTACATTTTCTTTAAAGCTATGATTAACAATCTGCTTATTTTACCCAGTTACACTTGCACCTGATAGGTTTGTTGTATATATAAAAAAAGGTCAATAGGAATTTTTGTATGAAAGTTCACTGAAGATAGATTTTTGTTTTGATTTAATTTTTCAACGTAAGAACTACAGCACTGGATTAGTGCCTCACAATATGCACGTGAAACTGACAGATACAAGACTATAAAAAAATGAACTGAACTAGTTTACTTTCAATGTTCCTATTAAGAGAAATAAAGTAAACAGAGCACAAACGATAGAAAATACAATAGCTGTTTAACATTGCTCCCATTCCAGTAACCCAATGTACTATTAGTAACAAGGCAAGAGAGATGGATTTTCAAAAATCATGATTTTTCACCTGAAAATGTCCTTTGGTCTAGTGCTAACATTGGATGGTGTAAGGGAAAAGTTGGGGGCAGGGTCATAGCCATGTGTTTGCTCAGCCTGCTGCTCTTTCCAATGAGATTCTGGCCAGCTCCTGCACAAGGCTGGGTGGCTGCTCCTTGTGCTTAGACCTTTCATATCCCCATAACAGTTGGCCCATAGCTTTGATTAAGAAGGAAACATTCTATCTGAAAGTGATCTTCTATAAATGCAGGTATCAGGAGGTAGCCGTGTTAGTCTGTATCTACAAAAACAACAAGGAGTCTGGTGGCACCTTAAAGACTAACAGATTTATTTGGGCATAAGCTTTTGTGGGTAAAAACCTCACTTCTTCAGATGCCCAAATAAATCTGTTAGTCTTTAAGGTGCCACCAGACTCCTTGTTATAAATGCAGCTGACTCTTTTCTTATTTGTAGGAATTTGCTGAAGGTAGTGAATGGGAGATCCGGTAGCATGTTTAATTCCAGTTGCATCACAAATTATATTAAAGTAAAAGGTTCCAGATGAAGTTCTTTTACCTTTTCATAATGCTCTATCAGAATTTCCACTACAATATTCTGAAACTTAATGTTCATCATAGCAGCCACGGTTTCCTCCTGGGCTCTCATCAGAGTCGGCCCAAAGATAACACCAAGGTTGGAGACAGTCATGAGATTTTGTTGACTGTGTAATGAAACCCTGCAAAGGAATTAAAAAAAAAAGAAAGGCTAATTAAACATTCCCTAAATATTGTGCTTATCTCCCATTCCAATAAGGCATCTGACACCACAGAAGCGGACTTTTGTTGTTGTTCACCAGCTCAAGTTTCCCTTTTGAAAATAATTTTAAACTTGTATGTGAAAACTTTGCCCCAAAAGCTGGAAAATATTGTTTTTTCTTTTTGCAAAGCATGACCACCGCATGAATTGCACATAAATGATTCACACAGTAGAGATGATGCAGACAGGCCGATGTAGACCACATCAGGAGGTGGACAAAGACGACTATGCTGGACAGAGATTAAAACTTGGTCTGTACATCCAAGAGAGCAACTGTGCAGTTACTTTGCGACCACAGTAGTTTTCCAAACAGCGATTGTTCAGACACAAATGTATGTATCTATATAAGGCACTGATATGGCCATTGCCACAGAATAACAGTGGAGACAGTAACTCCATTTATCACAGTGTCATTTGGTGGGAATAGTGTCCCATGAATGCAGACTCCTGGTCGGCGAAAAACCCTGGCATCATGAACTTTCCCAGTGCAGCCCACATGGACATTCATAAATCAACCTCTGTGGTCTATGAAGGCCTGCCTAACAATGGAGTAGTACCCCTTGCGGTTTATGTACTCATGTGGTCCGTGAGGAGGGAAAACTATTGGCATATGAGTCCCAGTTTGGAAACCCCATTCTCTAAAAGCTAGGAATTACTTCAGGAGTATCTTTTATGCTCACCACCTTGGGATAAACCATACTGACTGATTGTCTCAGAAACCTGCGCCACCACTTTACCCAGAGTTGACTTCTCAACACCAAATTGGTTGGCAATGGACCTGTAGCAATCTGGGGTAGCCAGCTTCCAGGTGATTATAGCAACCTTCTCTAAGCAAGGATTATTCATAGATTCTAGGATTCATAGATTCTAGGACTGGAAGGGACCTCGAGAGGTCATCGAGTCCAGTCCCCTGCCCGCATGGCAGGACCAAATACTGTCTAGACCATCCCTGATAGATATTTATCTAACCTACTCTTAAATATCTCCAGAGATGGAGATTCCACAACCTCCCTAGGCAATTTATTCCAGTGTTTAACCACCCTGACAGTTAGGAACTTTTTCCTAATGTCCAACCTAGACCTCCCTTGCTGCAGTTTAAACCCATTGCTTCTTGTTCTATCCTTAGAGGCTAAGGTGAACAAGTTTTCTCCCTCCTCCTTATGACACCCTTTTAAATACCTGAAAACTGCTATCATGTCCCCTCTCAGTCTTCTCTTTTCCAAACTAAACAAACCCAATGCTTTCAGCCTTCCTTCATAGGTCATGTTCTCAAGACCTTTAATCATTCTTGTTGCTCTTCTCTGGACCCTTTCCAATTTCTCCACATCTTTTTTGAAATGCGGTGCCCAGAACTGGACACAATACTCCAGCTGAGGCCTAACCAGAGCAGAGTAGAGCGGAAGAATGACTTCTCGTGTCTTGCTCACAACACACCTGTTAATACATCCCAGAATCACGTTTGCTTTTTTTGCAACAGCATCACACTGTTGACTCATATTTAGCTTGTGGTCCACTATAACCCCTAGATCCCTTTCTGCCGTACTCCTTCCTAGACAGTCTCTTCCCATTCTGTATGTGTGAAACTGATTTTTTCTTCCTAAGTGGAGCACTTTGCATTTGTCTTTGTTAAACTTCATCCTGTTTAACTCAGACCATTTCTCCAATTTCTCCAGATCATTTTGAATTATGACCCTGTCCTCCAAAGCAGTTGCAATCCCTCCCAGTTTGGTATCATCCGCAAACTTAATAAGCGTACTTTCTATGCCAATATCTAAGTCGTTGATGAAGATATTGAACAGAGCCGGTCCCAAAACAGACCCCTGCGGTACTCCACTCGTTATGCCTTTCCAGCAGGATTGCAAACCATTAATAACAACTTTCTGAGTACGGTTATCCAGCCAGTTATGCACCCACCTTATAGTAGCCCCATCTAAATTGTATTTGCCTAGTTTATTGATAAGAATATCATGTGAGACCGTATCAAATTCCTTACTAAAGTCTAGGTATACCACATCCACAGCTTCACCCTTATCCACAAGGCTCGTTATCCTATCAAAGAAAGCTTATGCCCTTATGCATGTGTCTTTGTGAGCAGCTTACTCCGAACCTCCAGCATAAAGCTCCAGAAATGTAGTTTTCTTCATGCTAAAGTTCTGGACCCACTGCTGGTCATCCCAGGTCTGCATGCTGATATGATCCCACCAGTCTGTGCTTGGGGCCCTGCTCCAGAAGTGCCAGTCCATGTAGGGGACATCAGCAGCTATACCGAGTATTATGAGTAGCATCAGCCAATGCAAATTTGCCATGCCTGGGCAGATGCATGGACTCCTCCTCTGCCTCCTCTTTCTCCTGCTCCATCATAAGCTCTATCAGGTGTCTTCGGTGGGTCAGAAAATGCCAACAAAACGTCGACCAGCATTTCATGGAAGCTCTGCCGGTTTCCTGACACAGGAGTGAAACCTCAAGCAAGAGAAGTTCTTCAAAGGGCGCCTCCCTCCATGTTGCTGGCTCCGGTAGCTGGTGCATAGAGCAAAATGACTGCTCGGCAGGCTATACTGGTGGGCTGTTCAAACTTCCTGTAACATGCAGGGTAGGCAGTAAAGATTTCCCACAGTGCACCATGGTGAAAGGGCTAGAAGCTATTCGAATCAGGGAGGCAGCATTTTGACAATGAGCCACAGTAATGTGTCTTTCTGTAATGCATTCAGCCAGGCATTGTTTAGTTGCCACCTTGAATGACCCTTGTAATGATTCCTGCCTGAGAATAAATTGTAATCTCCAGATGTGCTAAGTTCTGTTGCAACCCTTGTTTGTAGGACACAAATAAAGAATTATTGTATTTGTAAGAATAAATTTTTATTAAACAGCAATACACAGATTAACATTTCTTACAAGGGACCCGATCCTCTCTGAAATGAGGATTGCACAGCTGAGTGTAAATCCAGCTGTCATTATGGTACATATCCGTAGGGGTGGAGTGCAAGGGGAATTACAACGGGCCAGGAACATGTGAAGAATGTGTGTGGGGATTTGGGCAGGGCATGGAACGCAGTTCTGTATGGGCTGCAGGGGGAGTCAAGCACAGATGTGTTCCGAATGAAAGGCAATCAGGGATCTGAGCATCTCTATTTGGTCCTCCATGAGCTTTATCATCTGCTCCTGAGTCTCTATTATCCACTCCTGCCCTGTCTTATCTCCTGGCTATCCACTTTTAGTTTTTAGTTTATTGTCTCCATGCTCTGTGCTCGCTATCGGCATGATCAGATGATTGCAGCATTTCCTCGTATGCTGGTATGCTCCTTTTAAAAGCAGCATGTTTTCAGCACTGTACCAGAGTGACGGTTGGCCTCTCTTGCCTTCTGGTACACCTGTCTCAGCTCCTTGATTTTAGCATGGCACTGCTGCATGTCCCTTTCATGCCTCTTCCCATCCATGCCACAAGCAATCTGCTCGTAAGTGTGAAAGTTCCTATGGCTGGATCAGAACTGCAACTGCACAGCCTCCTTTCCCCACAGACCCAACAGATCCAGCAACTCTGGTGTACTCCAGGCAGGAGCGAGTTTGCTACAGAAAGCCGGCATGGTCAGCTGGGAAGATGTGATGTGAGCTGTCTACCCCAAGCAAACAGGAAGTGGATTTTCAAAAATTCCCGGGACATTAAATGGGAAGGGGGCGCATGCCTGGGTACCTGGCTGAAGGGCAGCGGAGTAGAAACTGCTGACAAGAGCAGTCATGATGGAGATTGTGGGATACCTCCTGCAGGCCACTTAGGGCGACATAAGCAAATGGAGTGTCTATACTGATAGTGCCGTCACTCTAACTTCTCTATGCCGCTCGTTGAGGTGGTTTTATCATGTTGGTGTAGCACTCCACTGTTTTGTTGATGAAACCTGCCTTTTGTTGACAAAACTGTGTAGTGTAGGCAAGGCCTTAGAATTCTGTGTTAGACGAAAGTGACTCTTTCTTTGATTCTTTATTATTGCCAATTTGCGTATGCAAACGTCTTGCATATCCACAAAGTTAGGTACCAAGAAATATGGGATCAGAATTGTTAATACATATTTTTTAGACCTATCCTAAAAATGTGGCCTTGAATATGTCTAGATGAGGAGTTCTCAAACTTGTGGGTTGTAAGCTCGGGGGAGGTCATGAACAGTGTCAGGTGGGTCATTAGCATCATCACCTATTCTCAACCCTTCAGTTATAAAAAAAAATTGTTTCTAGCCCTTATGATTGTAGAGATTACCTTGAAAATGTGATCTGAGTGTTAATGAATGCATTGCTGCTTGCCTAAATCTACACAAAACATGAAACAATAGCTCTAAGAAGTGTGAACTGCTCTGTTAATTTCAATCAAAGTTGTATGGATTTGCCTCTGTTATTCTACAAAGATGGAATTTGGGATTTTTTCCCAAATGATATGGAATTCAGCATTTTTGTCATGGAATTTCAGTTTGCTACAGCCAGATGCTCAACGTTATGTCTTCAGTCTCCTTGCCTACAGCCATCTGTTTTGCTTTCCCTAAGAAGTTAATAGGATTACAGTCCTCATCCATGGAGCCAGGCAGCAGGCTGCTTGTGACAAACCACTTCTTTCTTCCATGAATCTACCACTTGCAGCCTGACTTTTCTGTCTGGCAGACTCTGTACCACAAACATGTACTAGACTGCTTATCAGTGTTGCACTAGCTGGCAAAGGTTTCTGGAGCATAGAATCATAGGACTGGAAGGGAACACGAGAGGTCATCTAGTCCAGTCCCCTGCACTCATGGCAGGACTAAGTATTATCTAGACCATGCCTGACACGTATTTGTCCAATCTACTCTTAAAAATCTTCCATGATGGAGATTCTACAACCTCCCTAGGCAATTTATTCCAGTGCTTAGCCACCCTGACAGTTAGGAAGTTTTTCCTAATGTC